ACAGTGGCCAAGTCAAAAAGCTGTGCACCCCGCACTCCACACGCCTGCCCCAGGAGAGTGACCCCATCCTCATCAGTCTTGGAGCTGTTCTCCCCAGGGCAGTGCCCCCCCCCCCCAAGGAGGAGCAGGCAAGGGCGGGCAGTAGAGCCTCGGCCAGATCAGCAGGAACACAGCCGTCCCCGTGGACCTGCCGTCACAGCATCCTGCTGCTCTCCTCCGCATGACAGCCCCTCTCCTCCGGTCCACTGGCTTCTCACATCCCACTTCTGCTCCCCATTGACCTTGTCCATAGAGTTCCTTCCCATAAGAACCCATTACTGTCCAGTTGATGCCAGCCACCTTCTAACGATATAGAATTGCCCCATAGGGTGTTCTTTACAGAAGCAGACTGCCACCTCTTTCTTCCATGGAGTGGGTTTGAACTGCCAACCTTTCACTTAGAAGCCCGGTGCTTTAGCCCCTAGGCCACCAGCACTCCTCCCTTCTTAAACTCTTGCCCAGCAGTTAGGAAGCTCCCTTGAGTAGCACTGCTGTGGCAGAAGGGGCTGCCCTGGAGCCCAGACCTGAGCCTGCCATGGTACTGGCATCACGGAGCCACGCAGATAGCAGCTGGGAGGCCGGCACTCTTGCCCCCACCCGTGGCGCTGCGATTCTGGGGGGTGCCATGGGCGAGGCTGCTGGTGGCTGGGCTGTGTGGGTGTCTGACTGGGGTGATATACGGGTTCTCGTTTGCTCTGCCCTTCCTTGCCATCAGCGTGTGCAGCCTGCGATCTCTCTGCTGCTCTCAGCGGATTAAGATTTATGGTTTCCTCAGCCTTGTAATACTTGGGTGGACAGCGGCCTAATCAACAGAGGGGTTGTTTACCAAAATGCTGTCAGGTTTGATGAACGCCATCGGCTTTTAGCATGAAATTGGCGGTGAAGGGATGGGGCTTCCAGCAGTTTCCTGTGGGGAGGGCTTTCCTCGAAGGTCTCAGAAGCCAGCCCCTTGTAATGATGAAAGCCACAGGCTGCGCTCTCACTCAACTGCCACATCCACTTTCTTGCCACAGGCCGGCCACCGGGCACCTTCAGGGGCCCTCCCAGGTGAGATTTTGAGGGGTCCTCAAGCTATCCAGGGAGGACGATGGGTGAAACACGCTCCCCCACCCCCACCCCCCACACAAAGTATTGGCCTTCACAGAGGCTGCCAGAGCACTAGGCCCTGCCGTTGGTGGGAGAGCCGACAAACCTGAGACGTAGGCATGTGTCCAGGGAGACCCACCCGCCGTCCAGCAGCCTTGGGTGGCGCGGCAGTTGACACTGAGGCTGCTTGGTGAGAGGCGGGCGCGTCTGGCCCACCTGTAGGGGCTTGGGTGGAAAGGCCTGGCAGTCCACTTGTGAAGACCCCGGGGAGCACTGCCCGCAGTCAGTCGCCATGAGTCGGAACTAACTCCTTAGCGGAGTTTCTCTTGGCGCAGCCTGCTTTGGTCCATGTGTCCAAAGCCCTCTGACCTCGAACAGGAGCCCTCTACCCACCGCGTGGCCTGCACCACCGCACAGGGCACCCCCCAGGCTGGCTGTTGACTCTAATTGACAATGAGCTTCTCTGAACATGTTCAGACGGATGGCAGAAACTCACAGATGGAGGGCTGCTCCCGGGCCAAGTGTGGAGCAAAGTAGCCTTGGGACAGCAAACAGGAACTGTGCTTGTGTGCGTGCATGCTGGGACTCTGATGTCCTGTCCCAGCATAGGGTGGACATAGCACAAGCCCACCTCGGCCTGCAAGGAGTTGCAAGGAGTCAGGAAAAGAGCAGCCTCTTAGAAGCAGCCCCCTTGGGTGCAGCTGGGGGGGCCAGGAGGGAAGGGAGCCAGGAGCATCTCTCCTGAGCAAGGCGGGGAGGTGGGTGGCCAGAGCAGGGAGCAGACCCTTTGCTGCGGGGAGCGTTCTCATGTGGGAGGGCTGCTTCACAAGCTCATCCTGGTGGCGGCCAAGGGAGCCTACTTGGGTGGGAGGTGGGAGAGCAGGCCAGATGGAGGGCTATTTATTCCTCTCCCCAGAACCCACTCAGCGTTAGGAACTTTCTGGACCATGTTACTTTTGTCACATGTTGCTTCACAAACACAATGTATGCTGCGTGGATGCCTTGAGGGTCATTTTTTAGTTTCTCAGTGTCTGGCCGTGTTTCTGGGGTCTTGTCTGCATTCAGTGCTCAGTAATGACTTGCTGATCAGGCACCTCCATGCCAACTGCAAGCCTGTCTTATGACCCCCTGGGGAGGTTGGGCTCAGTTTGCTAGAGAGGGAGAGGCATGCTTTGGGCATGAAGGGGTATGGAATGCCACATAGGGAAGAGAGGGAGACACCTGCTTTTCTTCCCTGAATGCTGAGCTCTCTCTCAGCTCCTCAGGATTGAAAGCAGAGACCTGCAGTGATGTATTGGTACCAGTTCTCTTCTGGGCCATGGAAGTGCCCAACTTGGGTGTGGCAGAATCCAGATGCTCCCAGCTCACATTGTTTCCTGGCTGTTGCATCTCTTCAGCTCCTTTAAACCAGCCAGGCCCCCAAACCTGGCTCTGCCTGGCCAGGCCTCGGTCACCTGCTCCATTCCCAAAAGAAAACTAGGGCGCTTTTACTGGAAGACAAGGTCTGCAGGCGCGGGACATAATGCAGAAACAATGGCAGCCCCTCGCCCCCAAGCCCTCCTGGGTCTCCAACACTGATGCATCTCAGATTGGGTGTGCACAGCCTGTTAACATGCAGGCCCCAATTCCATGGATCAGCGGGGCCCTGATATTAAATAGTTGTCTCGAGTTCCCAGGGAGGCCAGGGCTGCTCCTCCCTCTCTAGGACTGGACTCTGGGAGTGCCAGGCTTCACCTGGCCCAGTGGTCCACCCTCCTTGCCTGCGAGTTCCTTCTACCTCCAAGGCCGCCTAGCATGTGGATATCATTGAGGGGTGCCCTCTCCCTGGAGGTAGCCTGGAAAATCCATCTTAAGGAGCAGCTTCAAAGCTTTCCCAGCTCCATCCTGGTGGGAGGCAGGAGAGCCTCCAGGAATCTCCCACCCTGGAAATCCAGGTTTTATGCATTCCATGCAGTGAGTTCCACCCAAGGTCACAAGAGCAGCGCTTTGACAAAGCCCAGAGCTGGAGCCCTGGTGTGAGAGACCAGGTGCAGGGTCAAGACGGCTGAGCCTGGCTCCTTAGGACGTCTTGAAGTGACTGGGTCTCTGGCCACCCTCCTTGTACACTGCTCCCTCCCTGCTCTGGCAAGGAGCCCCTTCACAGTGCACTGCTTTCTCTTTTCTGGAATGATCTGGAATGATCTATGGCCCAGCCTCCTTTAGCAGCAGGCGGACAGCCAGGCTGGCGGGAAGGGTGGCGGATGCCATCAGAGGGCCAGGCTTCTCTTTTCCCGTTCTCCCATCCACACCATAAGCCTTACCTGTTCTCACGAGGTGGCTGCTCTGTTCTGAGAGATCCCATTGTCCTCGAGTTAGGAAAGGCAGAGGTGGACAGGCCTGTGTCTGCTGGGTCCACTGTGGTCACCAGGCGTGCAAGAAGTGAGCCCCCTCTACCCTAGTTATGGTGGCTCCCTAGGCTACTCACCCTGGCTCTGGTCTGTTCTCTCCCTCCCCACCCCCTGACACCCACTGGCCAGGTGTGCTGTGAGGAGGTGGGGTGGGAGGGTTGTGTGTAAGCCCGAATCCCATTGCCACTCGCTCTACGAGCAGACTGAGAATGGAAGGAGGAAATAGGCCCCAGAGGAGAACTAAGGGAAGGAGGCTGGGCTGGCAAAACTGTAGCAACTTGGGGCACAGGAAGCATTTCTTTCTGGTCTGATTGGTGCTATGCGATGGGACTTCCAGGAACTGAAGTAGGAAACTTGAGTTGAAGCCATCTTCCCTACTGCACGTGCCAGGTGGACTGGTTAGGGTCCATGCGTAGCTGCCAGGCCAGAGAGACCCAAAGCACCAACAGGAAGGTGGTGTCTCTGTGTCACAGCCATTCAGTGGTAGACAGCCCACCTGTTCCAAGAGGTTGTAAAGGGACCCAGGCACTGTTTGCTGTTCTACCATCTTCATGATGTTGCCTTCCTTCTCACAGTCCTCAAAGCACCCCACCCCTTACACAACTCACCCCCACCTCCACGCTGCAGCCTCCAGGAAGGGGAGCCAGGCCCAAGGAGGCCGTGCCCTTCCCATGAAGGTTCCCCCCACATCTCAGTGGCCAGAAGATGCTCACCCACTGCTATGAGGGGGGCTGGGAATGTTGAGGGCACGTCTGGGAGCTTTAGGCAAGATCGACAGCAAAATGGCCACTGAGGGACAGCCATCCGCCACACGTGGCCAAGGAGTGGCCTTCAGAGAACTAGAAGGAAGAGGTGCCCACCCCACAAGGTCTCCACCTTCCAACAACTTTGAGAACTGTTTTCATTCTGGGAAGTTTGTGTGTGTGTGTGTGTGTGTGTGTGTGTGTGTGTACCAACATAAAGACCCCGAGAAAAACAAACCCAAGGGAAAAACAAACACGTTTTGCATCTGGTCTGATCATAAACCCCTTTGGGAGGCAAAGCAGCCTGTGAAAACCATTTGGATCACAGCGACCCAGTTCACGAGCCATTCTATGGTTGACGTGGGACCAGGCAGCATTTTATTCCACTGGGTCGAGGGATGCCTTGAGCCAGGGGCCAACTCAGGAGCCACTGGCAGTAGCCACAAATATCTACTAAAATGCCACGGAGAAGTTATTTCAAATGAAGTTGTTACTTAGGGCATCCTAGTGAGCCTGTGCTGGCCAGGAAGGACTTGGAAGCAGAGGTAGAGTGATCTCCATGAAGTGGGTGCCGGGCCGTCATTCATCCATATACAGCTCTGTTCTGTGCACGGTGACTGCCGGTCAGATCACCGCCCCCTAAAGTGAATGCTGGTGGACAACCACTAAATGCTAGTCCTGGTCCCTCAGAGAACACAGAGGCACCCTCCCTGCCGATCTGAAATGATTCCATTGTTATGTCTAGAAATCGGTGCAAATCAGAACGGAAGCTGGCCCGCGGCTCCACATCGAACCTCCTCCGGACTGTTCTGAAGGGTCTGAGCCATGTGGGGAAGTGACCGTCAAGGCGAAGGAGGCTTCTGGGGATCATCCACAGGTAGGGACCAGCCTCGGCCCTTTGCTCGGTGCTCCTGAAGGTCGGTGGGCTTGGACTGGAGTCTCGCAAGCACATTCCTGTTGCTGTTCCTCTGTTCACTCCGCCCTTTGTCCCTTCCGTCTTGTGCTCACTCAGCACAGTTAAAGGAGCATAAGCCAGCTAGGCACCCACTGTCCAGAGAGCCAACAAGGTAGGGATCCCCGACTTAGGAGGGGAGTGCCGTCACAGGTGCCAAGAATGGCAGGAGCAAAGCAGGAAGCGTCTCCAGAAAGCTTCCTAGGAGGGGTGACAAAGTTTGGCTAATAGTTTCATGGGCAAGGTGGTGAGGGCAGGTGGGCAGCCAAGCTGTGGGCACCATAGGTGTTGCTCAGCATCACGTGGCCACACAGCAGCTGATAACAACATGGGCATTTTAAATCACCATTCTTCACATTATTTGTTTTCCGGGTCCTTTGAATTACAGTGGTGTATCCCAGGCGTTCCTTCCACAAACTTTTAGGGAGCACCTACTGTTGAGCTTGGGGCACTAAAGAGAAAGAAATGGGCAAAGCTGGTGAGAATCTGTCTCAAGCAGCATGTATTACAAAGGGGAAAGAGATAGGAAAAACCAAAAATCCCAACTACTTGAGGTCATCATGGATAATGATAAGTAATGAGAGAAAGATGGGTTGGTGAGGCAGTACAGGAGAGGAGACATGAGGTAAGAGAGAGTCTAAAACCCGATCCTGTCTCTCAGCTCAAAACTAACGGAGACGGAGCCAGCCTGGCAGCAAGCAATGGGGAAAACATGCTCCCGGCTGAGAAAACAATTGTAAGCAGAGTGAGGCTGGGCTTGTGCAGAGAGCAGGATGCAGGCATGGTGTGAGCAAGGGTTGATGATGGAGGGACTGGCAGATGCAGGCATGGTGTGAGCAAGGGTTGATGATGGAGGGACTGGCAGGTCCAGAACAGGCAGGGCCTCTACCATGGCCTGGGGTTGGGGATTTGGATGGTATTCCAAGGGCATTGCTTTTATAAGATGCACGAGCAATGGGACCATTTCCATGTTGTGTGTCCAAGCACTGTTACTGAGGGTGGCTGGTCAGAGGCAAGCTGCTAAGCCCTGGAGGAAGGCCATTTGCTCCCCTGTGGCCCTGGCTGCCCAGTCCATTGCCTTCCTGGGCTCTGGCTTTCAAGTAGGCCATTCAGGAGACCAGCAAAGGAAGGGCATGCTGCTCACAGAACATTCTCAGATCTTCCCTGGGTGCCTCTTCCTTTATTTGCCCAGGAAGGAGCCATTGCACCTCATATTCTGGTTGTAAGTCTTAGTAAGTTGAAAAATGTTGAATTCCTGAACAACAACAAAAAAACACACCCATATTTTTTCATAGAATGACTCATTAAGCTTGTTCCCTATTGAATCCACAAAGAGTAAGCACACCTGTGTACTTCATGGCCTTTAACACTCACCTGCCCCTCAACACATGACCATAGACACTTTGCTATATATTTACTTTTGTAAGCTTTAGTGTGTGTGTGTGTGTGTTTATAAATCGATGGTTTACAGAGCACATCGGTGTTTCCCTCCACAATGCATGCACATCTTGTCTTACATCATTGGTTGCAAACCCCACAGGGAAGCACAGTATCCCTTTATCCTCCTCCTGGTTCCCCTTGGCATTGCTCCTTTTTTCTGAACGCTCCTGGACTGTGCGCTTGGATAAATGCCACCCTTTAGATCTCTAGTGGTTGGTTATTTATTACTAGGTGTGTGTACCTCTCCAGGGCAGACCTTATAGGTTGAGAATGGAGCCAGGAGGAAGGGCTCATTTTGAGACCTGAGGGGACTAAGGACTAAAGCTCTGGCCAGTCAGCCTGGTCTTCTTCGTGATTTGGAGTTATGTTCCACAGTTTCCTCCTGCTCTTTTCCTGGCCCCCCAGTGGATCCCTTTCAGAGCAGTTGGCAGTGGTCGCCACGCACCGTGTAGTTCTTCTGGTAAGTGTCCTGGAGACGGGGTTCCCGCCATCCATTAGTCAGTTGGACTAGTGGTTCCCATGCATCTACAGTGGTCTTCACTCCTCTTCCCTCTCCACAAGGACAGTGTGATCATTGCTCTTAAGACCCCAGTCGCTGCTCATCCTAGTTGGAAGTGGAACACTCTTTGTGAACCATTCTTCTTAGCATTTTGTCATTTTTCTTTTTGTTTCCGTGGGTTCTGTTGTGATGTCACCCACGTGTTTTCTCAGATGTGTAACGTGCATCTTCTCCTTTTTCTGTTGTCAGATTTACCGGGGGTCTGTCCATTTTTATTCACCCTTTCAAATCACCCACTTCTAGTGGTGCTTGCTCTTCTTTTGTTTTTCCGTTTTGTTTATTTCTGCGCTAATTATTATTACTTATTTTCTTCTGGTGACTGTCAGCCTGTGTTGCTGCTCTTTTTCCTAATTGCTAGAGAGAGTGGGTGAAGGTGCGGATTTTGATTTTTCTTTTGTGATGTGTGTGTTCATGGCTATAGCTTGTCCTCTGAGTACCGCTTTTGCTGGGCCCAGACTGCTGATGCCGTGTTCTAATGATCTGATACAAGGAGTTTTTGCATTTCCTTTTTTATTTCTTCTATTATCCAGTAGTTTTAAAGCATAGTGTTAATTATTTTCTATCTGTTTGATTTTTTTCCTCTGATCTTCTATTGTTGATTGCAATCTGAGAACACACCTTACAGTGTTTTGATGTCTTCAAATATAGGGATGCTTGCTTTGGGGCCTAATGTGGTCTATTCTGGAGACTGGTCCGTGTGCACAGGGGAAGAATGTATACTGTACGGTTGTTGGGAGCAATGTTCTCTGTGTGTCTACCAGGTGAGGTTGGCTGTTGTGCTGTTCTGTGTTTTTATTGAATTTATTTCCCATTGTTCACTCCTTCTCCTGCATTGAGAGTGATATACTAAAGTCACCTATTATTGTAGGACTGTCTTTTTATCTTTTCAGTTATTTTATAGCTTAATGTATTTTCAGTCTCTTTCATTGGGTGTGTAAGTAAATACTATGGCTCTCATTCAATCTACTACTATTTTCTAAGTATTATCAAATGACCTTGTTTAGGGAGCCTGGGTGGCATAGTGGTTATGTGTTGCGCTGCTAACCACAGGTCAGCCGTTCAAACCCATCAGCCACACTCTGTGGGAGAAAGACTTGGCTTTCTACTCCTGTAAAGCGTTACAGTCTCAGAAACCCACAGGAGGAGTTCTACTCTGCCCTCTAGGGTCACTATCAGTCAGATATGACTCAATGCAGTGAGGGGTTTTTTTTCTTTTTCCTTTTTCATGAATGCCCTTTTTTATCTTATACTGGAGTTAGAAAACCAAAAGGGAAGATCATGCTCAGCATATCTCAAACTAAAGAACTAAAAAAAACAACCCCAAACTCCCCAAATTCAGGTCTAAAGATGCAATATTGGAAGATTCTATGAGCAAAATATTGAATGATGTAGGAAGCATCAAAAAAAGATGGAAGGAATGCACAGTCACTGTACCAAAAAGAACTTGCCAAAATTCCACCATTTCAGGAGGTAGCATATGGGCAAGAACCACTGGTGCCGAAGGAAGAAGTTCAAGCTGCACTGAATGCATTAGCCAAAAACAAGGCTCCAGGAATTGGTGGAATGCCAATTGAAATGTTTCAACACGCTGATGAAGCACTGGTGGAAGCATTTACTTGGCTATGCCAGGTAATATGGAAGACAACTATGTGGCCAACTGACTGGATGTGTTAGTCCAGGTAGACTAGAGAAACAAATTCATAGACACTCGTATGTGTATAAGAAAGAGCTTTATATACAAGAGCAATTGAATATTGAGAAAACGTCCCAGTTCAGATCAAGTCCATATGTCCTATATTAGCCATTGTGTCGTTACCAATCTATAAATTCTTCTTCAGACTCATGAATCACATTCAGTGATGCCGAATGCAGGCCAGTGGGTGGAAAGTCTTATGGATCCAGTGGCAGTGGAAGCATCTCAGCACTGGCAGGGGTCTCCACATGGCTCCTTCAGCTCCAGGGTTCTAGCGTAGATCCATGTGCAAGCATGTCTGGCAGGGAGTGAGCATGTGTCCCTGCGCCAGTGAGCTGTTTATCTCCTTAGCACCTCCAAATGAGGTCATCAAGCTGTGACCTGATTGACGGGCTAAATTCCACCCCTTCATTCAAGTCTCAAATCGACAACCCATTATGCAACTACCACACTGGAAGAGATCCATATTTGTTCCCATTGCAAAGAAAGGTGGCCCAACAGAATGCTTCAATTATAAAACAATAGCACATGCAAGTAAAATTTTGCTGAAGATCATCCACCAATGGTTGCAGCAGTGCATTGACAGGGAGTTGCCAGAGGTTCAGGCCCAATTCAGAAGAGGATGTGTAACAAGGAATATAATTTCTGATGTCAGATGAATCTTGGTTGAAAGCAGAGAATACCAGAAAGATGCTTCCTAGTGTTTTATTGACTGCAAAAGCCTTTGACTGTATGGATCGTAGCAAACTGTGGATCACCTTGAGAAGAATTGGGATTCCACAACACTTCATTGTGCTCATGTGGAACATGTATATGGATCAAGAAGCAGTTATGCAAACAGAAAAGGATACTTTGTGGTTTAAAATATGGAAAGGTGTAGTAGATCAGGGTTGCATCTTCTCACCATACTTACTCAATCTGCTGTTGAACAAGTAATCAGAGAAGCTGGGTTATGTGGAAGAAGAATGTGGCCTCAGGATTAGAGGAAGACTTACTAACAACTTGTGCTTTGCAGATAACACAGCCTTGCTTACTAAAAGTGAAGAGGGCTTTTGAAGCACTTTCTGATAAAGATCAAGGATTGCAGCCTTCAGTATGGATTACAACTCAATGTAAAGAAAACCCAAATCCTCACAACTGGACCAGTGGGTAACGTGATAAATGAAGAAAGGATTGAAGTTGTCAAGGAGCTTATCTTAGTTGGCTCCAAAATCAATGCTCATGGAAGCATCA